CCACCGCCCTGCGCAGCCAGTGTGAACACTCTCATTGATTATAATGGGTGCATATTTACTGCGGAGGTCGTACCGGAGCAGAGCGGAGACGGAACGCAAGCAATGTAAATTGGGGCGTTACCAACAGAGCTCATTAACATAAACAGCTCTTCTGAACGGAAGTCAGAGCAGGCAGAACTAGAAAATGGGAAATTTTATTATCTGAGAATTATTTTGTGCATTAAATTGAATGAACATGGTCTGGATAGCCCACAGACATACCATAAAAATTTCTAGGACCCATAATTGGTCTCCTTTAAAGTTTTATTAGAAAACCAGCAGTGTCTACAACGAAAAATCCAAACTTTAATCTTTACATTAGTGATTACAGAACAAAGGTTTGGTGTGTAAAACAGTTTTTATAGTTGTATTTTATGACTTTGTAGAGCAATTGTATTTAGAACAATTACTGTACGTTGGATTTTAGATTATATCTTTGTTGTTCAGGGACTACAGATGGAAATTAGCTTAAGCTAAACCAGGTGCAAGCATCTTTTATTAATCTTTTATTTGCACATTTTCCCTCTTCAAATAAATTTTGTTTAAAAAAATTGACCGATTTTTTTCATCCCAAATTCGATTTTAATTGATTTTGCTTCCCACTTAACCGAGTGCCTCTGTTTCAGGTGTCGAAACAAATTTGTTGTACTCCTGCTTTTTGTAGCAAGAGTCTTTAAACAGATTTAGCAGTGAGTTGTTTGTTGCTCCAAGTCTGAGGTTGTGAAACCAGTTCCAGAAAACTGAAGAAAACATGCCTTTTTTGGGAAGCTGATCCTCTTTGCTAGCTGCCATATTGTCATGTCATGTACCAAGCATCTTGAGGGACAGGTGGGGCGACCTCTGAACTACCGAAGCCCCAAAGGGCAATGGTGAGAAAAAAAATCTCGATTTTCCAAAAATTAAATCTTTATAAATAGAAAATTTGAATTAATCGATTAAATCGATTTATCGCCCAGCCCTAATGAGGCCTCAACATCCTCAGAGAAGGGGAAACAGGAGCAGAGAGCAGGAGGACAGTCTGATGTTGTTGTGTTCCTGTTGTTGCAATAAAACTCAGCTGATCATCCCACGGACTACCTTCATTCTCGGACCACGTATTTCTGTCTTTGTTAAATACATATTTCCATAACAGTAATCCATTTTGCAATTCTGTCATCACAGTCACCGCGTCCGTCACAGATCGGTTTTTTTCAAGCTCCCACGTTGTTTACTGTAATTTTGCCGAAAAGCAACAAGCCTGCAGGCATGAACGTTTTTTTATGTAGGTGAATTTCATAAACTTACGTTAGCTTTGTAAGTAGGGAAGGCTATGATTATATGAATTTAAAAAGGTCTCCAAAAGATATTATCGTTTATCGTGATAATTTCTGAGACAATTTATCGTCCAACTCCAGCAAAATTTATCGTGACAGGCCTATTCCTGAATACTTTAAAGGCACAGTGTGTAGGATTTGTTGTTTTCAGCGACATCTAGTGGTTGAGTGGTTGAATCATCCTCCCTGCCCCCCCCCCCCACACCAAAACGCAAAGGAGTTGCTACGGTGTCTCTCAGGTGTCAAAAAGCTTTGATAATTCCAACCGTGATGTCTACCAGCAGCTTCAGGGCTAGTGATGTTTCAAGTGGTAAGATTATGAGCTTTAATAAGTAAAATTATCCCAGCTACAATGACAGACAACAAATATTACATTTATAGTATTACAACTAAAACCGTTTTTGATGCCGCCACCGCAGTTTGTCCTTCATCAAGATGGCGGTGCAAGATGGCGGCTGCCTGTAGTGGCGACCGGCGACCATGGAGATATAAACAGCTTTTTATAAGGTAAAAATAATAAAACAAGGTCTTTGTCTGCAATGATTAGACATGTGTATTGTCATTAGTGATTATCTCAATTTCTGCTAAAAGAAGTGACAAAATCCTACACACTGTGCCTTTAAGATGTGTCAGTAATAATAATAACGATGTCTCAGAGTTTAAACATCACCTCTATTTAAGTTGTTTTGTATGCATGTTTTATTCTTTTGGTTTTTTTTTACTGCATTTTATATGGTGTCCATGAGTGCCATGAAAGGCGCCTTCAAATAAAATGTATTATTATTTATCTATTTATTCTTATTAATAAACGCTGCCGTCAACCGTCTGCACTTACAGCGTTACAGTAGAAAGCGTAGAAAATCCCGGGAACATAACATCCCAGGATGCCAACAGAGATGCCGGCGTAGTCCAGGGACAGCCAGCGACGGCACGTCTTTTCAGAACGGTGGCACGAGAAAAGATGATACCCCACCGAACACAGCATGCAAACCTGGAATAAAACCCAAACATAACGTTCACTCTCACTGCAAAAAAATGTGCCCTTACTTAAATATTTTGTATTTAACACCAATATATTTATTTTTAAAACATTCTATGAGGTTAACTTACTGTTTTAGGCAAAGGATAATAACTTAGAACATGTAAACCTACATAAAAAAATGCCTGTACAGTAAGGTGATGCTAGGAGAAACATGGGTAAGAAAGCATTAGATTTATGCAGTAATAAATCAGAATATATATAATTTCAATCTAAATTATAGCCTCTACACTAACATCAACAAAAAAACCAGACATCTAACATGCAACAATTTATACCAACACAAATAGACTGAACTAATTAAATTTAAAATCTCTAATGATCCAATCAGCTGACATAAAACTTACACTCCTGCGTCGGTTGAGCTGACTGAACCTGCAGCGTAAATATAAACTTAAGTGAATCGGCTGCTTGAACGACGCAAGGGAAAAAAAAAAGCAAGAGAGGATGCAGATGTCGTTATTTTAGCTCGCCGGTGATTAAAATATAAACAAAGTCCTACTTGTTGTAGAAGTGTTACCTGGAAGCAGAACAGCCCAATAGCGTAGATGACGTAGTCCTCTCTGTTCGCGCCGGCGGCTGGCAGGACTGAGGAGAGGTCATTGAGCCCCAGAGAGAAAAACAGCAGGAAACCCAGAAGGTGGCTCCAGATGTTCACCGTCTCGTTGGAAAGAATCAAAATACTGCAAGAAGGAACGTGAAAATATTATTTTAACACAACATTTTACGAACAGACCTTAAARCTCATTAAAGGGAGATCTTATCAACATGACTCTCACCTCTTCAGGCAGAGTTTGGAGGTCAGGTGAGCCCTGTAACCGTCTGTGATGTAAGGGTTTTCTTTAAGGAAGATGGGGATTTGCTCATAGGTGTACAGCCGTATCCTCTGTGGCAGCAGCACAGGCCAGTGCTGGTAACTGCCCAGCTCGATGTAGTGGGCAGTTTTCAGCAGCTTCTGGGGCATCTTCAGCAGCATTTTTTTTGTTCTGAGCTCTAATAATACAAGCTGGTGGAGCAGAGGCTGCATTTTGGAGAAGAAAGTAGTCTGAAAAGGTCTGAAACCGCACGTATTGTGTGCGCATGCGCCAAGAAGGAGCGATAAATTGAAAAATAAAGACAAAAAACAACCAATAACAAAAGGAGAAAATAAAAAGCTTAAATGTACATATGGAGACAATAAGGTTAAGGTGTATATTATTAGCAGGGAAGACATGCTAATCATATTAAAACGATCGAGATATAGGCTGAAAAAAAGAAACTCACCATTAATCCGAATCTCTGCGTCTTTTTATGGGAAATAAGGCCATATTAAATGGCTATCGAGCTAGTWGGCAATAAAATTATTATTACATCATAATACATAACACCAACCGCCACTGTAATAATACTGGTTACACAAACCTGTGCTTTTCTTTTCTTCTGTTGCTAAATGAGGGTTGGCAAACCAACTCAGAGGTGCATTTACCGCCACCTACTGGACTCGAGTGGTATTCTGTCGTTTATGACCAGGTGATGAAAGTTGGAAACTGCACTTTACTGCCATCTAGCGGCGATACTGCATGCTTATCTSAACAGTCAGCTTGATCTTTTCTTCAATTAAAATAATTTGAGGTAATTTGTGTTCTGGTGGGTGGGTTAGGGTTGTGTATGTAAATGTCAATCATAAAATTATGTTTTTATTTTCCTATTTTTTTCAGTATGCTTACATCCTTTATTCAATGTCGTGGCTTTTTGTCTCCTTTTCAAAATTATTTTAATGGTGTGTTTGTATAGTGCAAAGTTTGCTTTGGTAGCTTATTCATCAACTGTACAATATTGTATCATATTGTAACATAATGTGTCTTACTGTATCATATTATACCATATTGTACTGTAAACATATTGTCATATCATGACAGGAATCCACTGAATTTTCTTACATAATGTATTTTTAATCCAGCATGACATCCTTGCACATCAATAATAAAATCTGGGTTGTCTTTATTTGTGGGGTTTGAGCTCTTCCCAGTGCATATCCCTGCAATGTCATCAATAAATTCCAGCCATGCTTTTGATGACAGTGTAATTAGTTTGTTTACTGATACTGGGCTTCAAATTGTTCTTATTGTTTGTTTGTTTAATAGGCCAAATTTATGAGCACATCTCAGAACTTTTTTAAAGGGGCAACTGACTGTGGTCGCAATATCTTTGTTATGAAAACCATTTTTTCTTCCCGTCTTCTTTTTGCTATCAGTTCACAGTAGTCAATCATAGAAAATATAGGGTTTTATCGGAAACTTTGATATTATTCTCAATTAAAACTATTTTTTGGTCCACAAACTGAATGTGTTAAATCAGCCTAATTTCCCAACAGTGTGTGAAGTTTTCAGATGCAAAACTGCAAATATTGTTGACGTCTAATCCTTCCATTTCTTCCAGCTTCCAGCCTTACGGGTTGTTTTTTTTTTTTAATGAATAGCTGAATTTCTTAGTTTTGCAAATCCTACTTTTTTATGAAATAGGACATATTACAAAATCTGATCCAGCCACACCCGCCAATACAGCAGAGATCACATCATCTATCAGGGAGGGGCTTCATTTGGCTGACACAGAGACTTTGGTATGTAATTAAACAAGCTGTTTACTGTCATACAAACCATATCCAGATGATTTGTTGAACTGGAACCAAGTCAGGATTCCAAACTGGATCCCTGCAGGCAGCTAAATGAAAAGTTTAAACACTGTACAGCCGTCACAAAAGGATTTACAGGAATGAAATCAAAATGTCATCCTGATCATGCGTGACTGTGCAGATCAAATTTCAGTTTTTGCAAAAAGAAACACTGAAGAATAAAGAAATGAACTATTCCTTGTATTGAAAGGTTAACCTGTTGACATAACATTACATTAATTTAATCAGTGTGTTTGTCCCAAAAATGAGTTGAATCACTCGTGAACAGATTTATTCTTTTGGATCAGGTTTCCATCTGCACATTTGATATTTGGAGGTTTAAGCAATTGTTTGTGACATGTAACGATACAACGATTAATAAGCTAATAACACTGTAACAACCCACTGCTGGACTAATCACAGAATATCATAGTTTAATAAATCATGAAATTTAGCACCACAGCTTCAGTTAAAATAAACTGAAAGCGGACCTGAAAGCTGTCAGACAGCTTTGACGTGTTGGTATTCATGCTCAGATTTGTTGAGTAAACAGATAAAAGCATGGGGGTTATGACCCCCACCATAATTTGATTTAGTCATTCAGTCAATATACCCACACACACACACACACCCAAATAAAACAACATCATTGCTCTAACACAATAGGAATGTTAAAGTACACTGCAGCTCTCTTGTTGTCATAACTTTATAACGTTTTCAATACCTTTGACCTTATTTTAAAAGTTACGATGTCACATTATGTACATTTAAGCATCACTGCTGGGAATGAGATGCAGGGTTTTAGTCAGTTGTCACTTTACGGCTGTATTTGTTAAATCGTGTGTTTTCCTTTAGCAAACTTGTAGCGCACCAAGTAAATACTGTATGTGTTCCAAGAAAATTTAGAAAATTATGTATGTGTAAAATCCATCCTATAAATGTAAAATATATGTTAGTTTTGGACAAAATTGGAGGGGGGGGGGTCTTAATTGATGAACTGGCATGCAGAAAAGATGCAAAAAAGAAAACAACAACAACAAAGAGTAAATACAAAAAAAAAGGCAGGAAAGTTAGGTAAATCAAAGTAAAGGCATTACAACTTATTTAAACCCCAAAATATCCTGAATTACGGAAGCAACTGAAACAAAAACAAAAAAAAAAAAATCCAAAAACTGACTTTAATCTCAAAAATTAAGTCAGAGATTAAAGTCAGAGTTCTTTTTTTAGTCGCCCTAATCCTCTTCCATACTGAATCGTTTTACAAAAGTAAATGTTTTGATAAATAAATAAATAATTAATTAAATAAATAAATAAATAAATAAATAAATAAACATGCAGCGAGCATAACCACACAAATTGTTGACCTATTGTTATGTCAAAAGTGCTTTGTTTACTCTGAGTGTGGACCTGCATTTCATCTGGAAAACAATGCACTCACACTGCACCATTTAATTTTAGTGTTGGTTTTCGCAATTAACCTTTAACACTGGATGAGTTTTTTTTTTTAAGTTTCCTATGGGCAGTTATGGTTGTTTAATTTGTAGGATCCCGGCAGGAAGAGGAAGGAAGTCCTTCGGTGTTTTCATTGCGGCTGTTTTGACAGTCAGCGGTTTGTGCGCAGCAGCTGCGCGCCCTGCCCCGGTCATCAGCTGCTCCTTCCCCACTGAAACAGCAGACAGTCAACATGTGAGCAGCCGGAGCTGAAGAGGAGCAATGCTAACTGCTGTGTGGATGCTTTTTTAATTTGTAAAGACAGAGAACAACCTGCGGGGATGTAATGCATGGATTATGGGTCGGATCTGGATCTGTTGGTGCCAAATCCTGCTACTGCTGCGTGTTTGCGGGAGTTCTGCGCTGCGTGAAGAGGAAGACGCGTCCTGTGATGGAGCCTTTGATGTTTATTTTGTTTTGGACAGGTGAGTTTCTGATCCTTTATTTTATTATTTTTATTTTTATTTTATTTTTTACAGGAACAAGTCTTTATCTCCAACCTCTCCTTGTATGGCAGTGTTTGGTTCCCTGTGATCCACTCGTGATCCACAGCTGMATTGAAAGTTTATTTTAATCCTCTCTGGCTGGGAGAAAGTTGACTTTTCTCTCCCAGTATTTTATCCTCAGTGTTTTGTGTTATTAAGCAAAACACAACTTTAAATAGACTTTAGAACATCAACAGTTTGCTAATTTCAGTTTCCTGTTTCATACTTCAACACATATATGGTTTTGTTTTTCATCACTTTTTTTTTCTGGCTGTTGGAAAGAATCACTGCAGCTTATGGTAATTTATATATCTTGTGTCATTTACTTTGAGCAGAGAAAACTAACTCTATATTAAAAGACAGCCTCCTGAAACTCAAGTTTTTTTTGTATCAAGATAACAAACATGAAATTATTCAGTTTAATATATGGTATGATTGCACCATGTTATTACTTAACCAATATCAGCACAAACACCTCTCACTAAAAGTCAAGCATGGTGGTGGAAGTGTGATGATCTGCAGAACTACTGGTTAAATATGAGGCCGTCTGTCTGTTACACTTTGGACCAAACTGGATCGTTCTACATTTACTCACGGATAAAGTGGCCATCATTAAACTCTGGTAGACTGGAATACTTTTATTTACAAATTTATGGTCTGCTGCCTCCCATTCATTTTTCAGAAATTTCTCCGATTCTGCTCCATCTCTCTGAAATTCACTGCAGAACTGAAACTGTCCAGTTTGATCGCATTGGGGCATTTTTAACACATTTTAAAGAAATTGAAATAAATTAATAAATTATATATATTACAGTAAATATATTACTAGAGGTGCTAATGACATGAAATGCTCACCAGATGTTGGTAACAACCCAAGTGATCCATACATACAAAGAAATCAAACCATAAATGTCCAGAAATGAAGTTATTTGTAATAATGTGGAATGGCACAGGGAAAAAGTATTGAACACATGKAGAAAGGGAGGTGTAAAAAGGCATGGAAAGCCAAGACACCAGCTGAACTCTCTCAGTAATTAGAAAGCAAGCCTGCCCCTTGTCAGTGCAAGTTAATATCAGCTGGTTCAGTCCCAYATGATGGCCAGGTATCACGCAAGAACCATCTGATGATGGGTAAAAGTAAAGAGCTCTCTCAAGACCTTCACAACCTTATTGTTGCAAAGCATAATGATGGCATCGGTTACAGAAGAATGTCTAAACTTCTGAAGGTTCCAGTGAGCACTGTTGGGGCCATAATTCAGAAGTGGAAAGAACAATATTTCACCATAAACCGACCACGACCAGGTGCTCCTCACAAGATTTCTGACAGAGGAGTGAAAAGAATTATCAGAAGAGTTGTCCAAGAGCCAAGGACCACTTGTGGAGAGCTTCAGAAAGACTGGAATTAGCAGGTACGATTGTTTCAAAGAAAACAATAAGTAATGCACTGAACCACCATGGCCTGTATGCACGCTCACCACGCAAGACTCCACTGCTGAAGAAACAGCATGTTGAAGCTCCTTTAAAGTTTGCTGCACAACATTTAAACAAGCCTGTGTAATACTGGGAGAATWTAGTCTGGTCAGATGAGACCAACATTGAACTGTTTGGATGCCAGAATACACATCATGTTTGGAGGTCAAATGGCACTGCACATCAGCCCAAAAACACCATACCAACAGTGAAGTTTGGAGGTGGGAACATCATGGTGTGGGGCTGTTTATCAGCATATGGTACTGGCAAACTTCAAATAATTGAAGGAAGGATGAGTGGAAAAATGTACAGAGACATTCTTYATAAAAATCTGCTTCCATCTACCAGGATGATGAAGATGAAACGTGGCTGGACATTTCAGCAAGACAATGAGCCCAAACACAAAGRCAAGGAAACTCTCAGTTGGTTTCAGAGAAAGAAACTAAAGCTGCTGGAATGGCCCAGCCAATCACCTGACCTGAATCCAACAGAAAATCTATGGAAAGAACTAAAGATCAGAGTTCATAGAAGAGGTCCACGAAACCTTCAAGATTTGAAGACTGTTTGTGGAAGAATGGGCCAAAATCACACCTGAGCAATGCATGCCACTAGTTTCTCCATACAGGAGGCGTCTTGAAGCTGTCATTGACAACAAAGGCTTTTGTACAAAGTATTAGATAAATTTCAGTAAGTGTATTCAATACTTTTCCCTGTGCCATTCCACATTATTACAAATAACTTCATTTCTGGACATTTATGGTTTGATTTCTTTGTATGTATGGATCACTTGGGTTGTTACCYACATCTGGTGAAAATTTCATGTCATTAGCACCTCTAGTAATATATTTACTGAGAAAAATGGTGAAGTGTTCAATACTTATTTTACCCGCTGTATTAGCCTTTTATTGTCATTGTGAGCTAGTTCTTGTTTGTAGATTAGGTTTCTTTAACTTTGCTTTTTTTAACTGTCAACATAATATTTTATGCTTTTGTGAAACTGATGGTTTGTCTTAACGGTTTTCCATGTAAATGAGACTAATTCAATTCACTTTATTTACACAGCGCCAAATCATAACAGACGTCATCTCAGGGCACTGTACTGCTTGTGTTGAATCACTTTATCACAGTCTTCCATCCTGAGCAACACATGGTGACTGTGGAAAGAAAAAACTCCATTTTAACAGGAAGAAACCTCCAGCAGAACCAGAACCAGGCTCAGGACAAACAAGCATCTGCCTCAACTGGCTGGGTTTGGGGGACAGGAAAGAGACACAGAGAAACACAGAACTTAGACCTAAATAAAAGTAAATGCATACAAGACAAATCCCAAACCCTGCAGTCCTACAGGATGGAGGACAAAGGAAGAGTCAAGAGTTAAATCAAACAGCTTTTCACACACAAACCTTTCCATTTTGTCTTTGCATTTCTTTTATTTAAATTTAAATATTTTAATTTTAGAACCTCAAAGACACCATCATTCTCTGACAGTCCTCACTTTTTTCAGCTCCTCTAAAATTAAAAGAGGGAAAACTTTCCTTTTTTTTGCATGCCTGTAAGAGTGACTGAGTCATGAAACTCTTTCTCTCTGCTTGGATCCACCTCATGTTTCAGATTATCTGAGATTATCTGATATTTGTTAGTTTTTTTCTCTCAGACACAGTGTGTTTTTGCAGATCGGGCAGTGTGTGGGGACACTGGAATGAGATCTACGGGTTTGTGGAGCAGCTCACCAGCAGGTTTGTCAGGTGAGTTACGCGACAAATCGTCAACTTTCCCCACTTTTTTTTGCCCTTCAGATCTTTATTCTTGCAACACAGAATCACATTTATCAAATATTTGCTTTTTGCYTTTCAGAGTTTTACACAGATCAATCAAAAGAAACAGCATTTTAACTCCAGCCAAACAAAGAAGCAGTGGGTAAAAAGTAGGGCAAGGGCTATTTCTGGGCTGCAGACATCACACGAGGCCAACAACTGCTCCCAAACCCCTCTGGTCTGCAGGGTGTGTGTTGATGTTGGTATCTTTAGGTTTTAATAGTGAGCTTCTATATTAGGGCTAAACATGCAGCCAGATGTGGAAGGTGGTTCTGACCACGAAGAACAGTACTTCATTTCACAAAGAAGCAAACAGAGTGGCCACAGTTTGAAACAGAACACACTCAGATGATCTTAATATTTGTATTTGTTTCTTTCTGTGTTTCAGCCCCAGGATGAGGGTCTCCTACATCGTCTTCTCGGCCCAGGCCGCCGTCATACTTCCACTAACTGGAGACAGGTGTGCATTTCTTTTTATCTCCTCTTATTGTTCAGACTCACTCTCCAGTTTCCTCCCTGACCACCTGCTTCTTTTAAAAGATGTGTTATAAATGTTGTTTTGTGGTCTGGCTGCTCAGGTCGAAAATAGACGAGGGTCTGAACAAGCTGAGACAAATCAATCCTTCTGGGGAAACCTACATGCACGAGGGTTTAAACGCGGTAAGAATATTCAGCCGTTATCGCAAAAATTCTGCCAGATTGCTTTTATTTGTGATTTATTGTGTGTTTTTAGGTGAACTCGTTCACACTTTTCTTATATCAGCTTCCCTAGAAGTGTCTCATTTATATATATCATTTACCTTTTTTTTTTTACAAATATGCAACTACAAAAACTGAATAATTACATTTTATGTTAAATCTTTCTTTGTATCAGGTGTTAGAACAAATGAAGATACAAACGTCTGCATCATCCAGCATTATTATTGTGTTGACTGACGGGAAACTTGACATTTACCCCTACGAACTCAGTGTACAGGAGGTAACACACACACACACACACACACACACAC